CTGGCCATCGCTTTGCAGATGGAAGTTGGTTGAGAAGTTCACTTATGTCCCTAACAATTTGAACAATTCGCGTTAGAATTTTCTTGTGAAATGCGGGTCCCTATTACTGATGATGCTTCGAGGGACTTCCCATAATTTCACAACATTCTTGAGGAATAGATGAACAACTTCGTCCACCTGGCATTTTGCCGAGGTTGGAATGAAGGTGGCATGCCTGTTGAATCTATCAACGACAACTATTATGCTTCCATACCTGTCTGATTTTTGCAGGGCCACAATGAAATAGAGACACTCTCTCAAGGTCTTTCGGGAATAGGTAAAGGCTCAAGCAATCTGACGGGGTGCTACTGCTCGACCTTCTCTTGCTGGCAGATAATGCAAGTCTGCATGTAGTCTTCTACGCCATCTTGTATGCGGGCTGATATTAATAGTTTTGCACGAGTGTCAAGGTGCGCGTAGTTCCTGGGTGCCAGCCCACTTGGTGTCAAGACACTCTTTGATTGTTTTTTTCCACAAATTCTCCTATTTCAGCAAAAATATGCAATTACCAATTGTTAGGAGCATCTCATTTTTATCCAAAATCGCCGCATCTTATTTTTGTTAACAAGCTTTGCCAAGGGATCGTGCTGCATCCCCTCTCTGATGCGGCCAAATAGATCGCTCCGTTTTGTACTCATAGCGATCGAGACAAGTTCTACCCCTCTGTTTAGGGCGTCAGCCATCATGTTGGCTTTGTCGGGCTTGTATTGCAAGCAATAGTCAAATTCGACCAAGAAGTCTTGCCAACGAGCTTGCTTGGGGCTCAACTTCTTATGCATATGGAAATAGTTTGTTGCCACATTTTCTATCATGATGACAAACTTGCTACCAAGAAGATAATGTCTCTACGTAGTGGGCAGCTAATGATGGCTATCATTTCTTTCTTTTGGATTTTATAACGCATCTCTGGTTGTTAAGCTTATGACTTTTGTCAGCGGGAGCTCCTCTTGCGTTAATACTCCTCCAATTGCGCCAGTCACGGGCGTTAGTGTGTACCTCGAAAGGTCTGGAGTAATTCGGACGGATCATGACAGGTTTTTCATAGACCGCCTGCTTCAATTTCTAGAAGCTACTTTACACTCCTATGTCTACTACACGTATGATTTT